GTGTACTGCCAGCAAATTCATGGCCTGTTGTTTAGGGTCTGAATGTACGACACACTTGTTAAATGCAGTGAAGTATTCAGAGCACTTACAGCACAGTTGAGTGGCAAAGGCTGTCAATGCTTGTGTACGTGTTATATTTTTGTTTTTAATTTTTAATATTGAATTTTGAGGAGAAGAATGAATTATGTATGATTTGTAAACTTTTCAGATAAACTGCACAGACCAGGTTTTTTGGCTGGATAATAAACTAATTTGAGACAGAGTTCCATAAATGTCTTTTAAAATTGTGTCTCCTGATGATTTGTCTTTAAATATGCTGCTACAAAGTAACTAGAATTTCATTTGGTATGTTATCACTTTTCTGTTTTTCATATTTTCATATATATACATTGTGGAAAAAGCCAGTGAACATACAAGAAGAACTTTCTTCACACGAGCAATTTCACAGTTTGCAGTCAAGTTAGAAGGGAGTACGTTGAAGCAAGTATGACATAGAAATGCTTTCTTTGTGTTAGAAGGCTCAAAAAACCCCAACAGCAAAGTGGCAGATGAATATTTTAATATATTTACTGCTTGGCGCTGCTATTTATATTAATCTGAGAGCTGCCTACTCGAACCCTGAAACTTTAAACTGCATGCACTTGAAGGTTACTCTGTTTTATTCTGTGACTCTCCCCAACTGCCCATTGAAGAAGATCTGGGAATTGTTGTAGTTTGTGGCCAGATCATGAACTGACATCAATTTTGCTGATTAAATAGATTCTTGATGAAAGATAGCATACAAATAGTTACATTTACATCACTTAAAAGCAAAAATAGACCTGGCAGCAGACTGTATCACAAATATATGGAAATTCCTCCAAAACACCTGAACCTTTACGGCTGGCCTCTCAAGGTGGGTTAAGCTTGTCAGGCTGCATATTTAATTGTTATTTCTGCTAAGAATCTACATCACGGTTAGATAACATAACAAACTTCACACATAACAATGTTCCTAAGTGCAGAGGAGCCCCTGGGTAGTACGCCAGTGATCGATTTTGTAATCGTATCATCAGATCTGCGGCCGTATGTTCTGGACATTTGGGTGAAGAAAGGAGCTAAGCTTCAACCGATCACCGCCTGGTGGTGAGCTGGATCAGGTGGCAGGGGAGGATGCTGGAGAGGCCATGCTCCAGACATCCATTACTGAGCCTGCTGCAAGGAGCTGCGGCTGTAAGAGTGTTGGTGCCTTTGGGGTGGTTGTAGCTCAGGTGATAGAGCAGATAAATTGGAAGGTTGGTGGTTTGATCCTCGTCTGCTCCAGTCTGGATGCCAAATATTCTCAGGCAAGATAGTAAACC